GATTTAAGATAGAGATGTTCGGTGTCACTCCTCGGCGAAAATCTTTTTGGAAATATTTTTTAAAATCTATTCTCCGTTTTATGYTGTAGCTACGTTTGTAGCTGGTGTTTTCGCTGTGGGAGTTGAATGCAGATTCACTAAAACAGTGCTGATGTGTGTTTCTAAGCAGATATTTCTTTGTGCCAACAGATAACACAAGAGAAGAGATTTCCTGCACGGGCGGAAGTGGTTCTTATCCCAAAGACAGGAAAACCTAGCTTGTACCCTGGGTTGTTCATTTTCACTACTCCTTGCCGGATGGTGCGGCCGGTCAGAAACCTGTCCTTTGGAAGGAAGGAATGGATCGGCACCCTGGAACAGGTAGAGCCTGTGTGGTTGCTTTGCCATGCTATCTATTGCCAAGGTATCCTGCATCAAAAATGGCATCTTCCAAAATACTCGTGAAAGGAAGTGAGARGAAGGGCCTGCAAGTTGGAGTCGAAGAGCTGGAAGAGGCAATAAAGGGGGTTTGGGTTATTTCGATGTTTCTTCCTTGCGCATTTTACATGTGAACTGTAGGTATCTTTTGGATCACTGACATCTCTTGGTTTTAACTTAGTGAAGCTTTTGAGGAGGGTTGTTGCTGTTGTGTGTGTCACCTCTTGGCAATCCACTTAAAGTGGGAGATAGGAAAAGCAACGTGTTCCAGCAGTTTCCTGGTCTGAGAGGTGCTTTCCCTGTGCTCTGTGATGTGATGGCCAGTTTGACAGTTGCCTGCTCCTTTTTTTGACCGCTAACACAGTAAGGTGAAGACATAAAGCACAGCCATATAACTGAAGTGAACGAGCAGACGTTGAAGGCAGCTTCATTTTGCTTTCCTCCCTTGAAGAGAACAAGGCAAAGAGACAGCCGCTGTTTTGGTTCCTGCAGATCTTCATGAATGTTGCAGCCATGGAGTCGGAGGTCGTGCCTGGCGTGACCACTCACCAGGAGCTCTTCCCTCACAGCATCCTGAGTGTGGTGGCCAACCTCATCCCCTTCTCCGACCACAACCAAAGTCCTCGGAACATGTACCAGTGCCAGATGGGTACGTGCCCTAGCAGCTAACGCTCGAGTCCCCACGCCAGGGCAAAGGGAAGAAATCTCTCTTGGATCTGCTCCAKTGTGTCTCTTTACAGTCCAGAATAGCAGTCCTCCCCAGCAGTTGTCTCAAAAAGTAAATTAAATCAAGTTTATCATCCTGGCAGCCTTGCAGTGAGCATTTCTAAGCTGCTGCACTGATGCYTGCCTGTTTGTTTTTTTTCTCTTGGGGAGATTTGGAGGGTTGGAGCTTTCTTTGTGTCGTGGTTATTGACCATACAAACAAGGGAAGGGGTGCCAACCTCTTTGCAACTTTTTGGGGGGTTTAATATCTCCTAACTGCACTGCCAACRGTCCTCCCTGGGAGCGAGGTAGGCTGACCTATTCCTAACTGGTTGCTGGCGTACGTGCTCTGCAGTAGCACGGAGTGTCTTTRCTGTCTGTTTTCAGTGAGCAGCTGTGCTGCCTTGACTGCAACTCTGGGGAGACCATCTGCTGCAGGCCAGTAATACAACAGTCAGAAAAGGGACCTTGAAACATTATCACGTTTTCCTTTTTTTAATCCCTCTAATGTCACTATGCTCAAAATCTGCTTTCTTTGCCAGCACGTTTATACTGGCAGTAGCAAATGCTTTTTTGGCCTGAGAATATGGCCATTTTGCTTCACTATGTGAAACTTAAGCCACATCTGGGGATTTTTGAAATTTCTGTAAAAGGCACAAAACTGCAAATATTCTCTATTTAGTGATATGAAACAAACTGAATATTGTGGTTGATAGAAACAGTTTTGTAGCAGGACTTAGGGCCTTTATTCAACTTCAGGGATTATAAAGGCTGATAATCCCCCTCTGTTTCCAGCTCTTTTTTTTAACAAGATACCTGAAGGATGAATCATTGCTTACCTTTGAGTTGACCCCAAGTGCAGCTTGATTTCTSTCTTTATAGGGAAGCAAACCATGGGATTTCCAGTGTATAACTACAGGGACCGCTCAGATAACAAGCTGTACCACCTTCACACCCCCCAGAGCCCCCTGGTGAGGCCCAGCATGTATGATTACTATGACATGGACAGCTATCCGATTGGAACCAACTCCATCGTGGCCGTCATCTCCTACAGTGGCTACGACATGGAAGATGCTATGGTAAGGTGCCAAAACACGGAATCTTGCTGCTCTGTTGAGCAGCTGGATGTGGGAAGCTATGAAGAAGGGCAGAACATAGCTGAGGGGAACCCGTTTCTGCTGCTCCATGGGCCCTGCTAGGGAAGATATAGAAATGTAATTGGTGTTTGCCCAATGCAGGTAGTGCAAGAGAGATGCGAGTAGAGCAGAGCTCCTGTGTGCAAGGTGATAGGCTTGCAAAAATGGGAAAAAAATAGAAGCTGCAGGATGTTGTTTGGGTCTGTAGGAATGCTGACTTACTGGGAGCTTGAGTTTGGGAAGGTGATGTTATAAAAGCAAGTGTCAGAGCAGAAGGGAAAGCATTTTTCTGTTCAAGTTATTAGCAAGTCTCTTTTTTCTTTTCTTCTTGCTTTTTAGATTGTGAACAAATCTTCCTGGGAGAGAGGGTTCGCCTATGGAAGTGTTATCAAGGTGGAGAGCATTGACCTGTCCCTTAAAGCCAGCAGGGGAGGCGATAACTTAGTCTTTGGCGTCAAGGCTGGTGATGGGAACCTCGCCGAGAAGCTGGATGCTGACGGGCTGCCTTACGTTGGCTCCATCCTGCAGCCGGGGGACCCTTTCTACAGCTTCATGAACATCAGCACGGGGGAAGCCTTCACTGTGTACTACCAGTAAGTGCAGCTAAGGAGCAGCTATGTTTTGCTCGTGGTCTGTACCTTGCTTACGTTTGGACACTGCGAAAGAATTGCTGAAAACCAGGTGCAGTCCTGCAAAAAATGCGGTCATAAGGATCTTGGAAGAGAAGGAAAAGAAGTAACTCCCTGAATTTGGGCAAAGCCTATTTATTCTTTAATTGTCCCCTGAAGGGGCAGGTGGCTTGTGCTGAAAGCTTCACAACAGGAGCTGCTTGCCTCTGAGCAGAGGAGCTTGTTTGCAAAAAGGCCACGTCAGCTCCTCTCTCCGTCCTCTGAGCTCTCCTCCCTGCTTTGCCCTGAGCCCAGTTCTTTATTTTAATACTCCACCAAGACAGGGGGAATTCATCGATGGGCAGAACCTTCCTTAGAGCAACAGAAATCGGCACTGGGATTCTACTTGTCACATCACTGTACAGATGTAGTAGGTTTATTTATTTATTTATTTATCATGGATAACACTTGATCTCCTGAAAATTAACACTCTGCTTCTGGTATTTAAAAATGGCAAACCAAAGGGTAATGTATGTGACACCCGTGTGTTGCATTCTAGCTCTGTTTCTTTAACAGTCTGATTTCCCTTACTACTGAGCGGTATTTTCTCTAGAAATGCAGTGGTCCCCAGCAGTCCCATGCTGTTCTATGTGACTTGCAAAGCAGTTTTATTTTCCTTCTGTTCCTTTTCCGAGCTTAAGAAAAACACTAGTCCACCTGCAACTTTTGCTGTGATCCTTTCCCCACAGGAACAAGGAAATTGGCATCGTAGACAACATCAGGGTGTGCAGTAATGACCGTGGCACCGGGAAGTTCAAGAAAGCTTGCATCACCGTGAGAGTCCCCCGAAATCCCACCATAGGAGACAAGTTTGCCAGCCGCCACGGGCAGAAAGGCATCCTGAGCCAGCTGTGGCCAGTGGAGGACATGCCCTTCACGGAGAACGGGATGGTTCCGGACATCCTCTTCAACCCTCACGGCTTTCCCTCCCGTATGACCATCGGGATGTTAATTGAGAGCATGGCGGGCAAGGCGGCAGCGCTGCACGGCGTCTGCTACGACGCCACCCCCTTCACCTTCACAGAGAAGAACGCGGCTCTGAAATACTTYGGGGAGACCTTGCAGGGTGCGGGGTACAATTTCTTCGGGACCGAGAAGATGTACAGCGGCGTGAGCGGCCTGGAGCTGGAGGTGGACATCTTCGTGGGAGTCGTGTACTACCAGCGCCTGCGCCACATGGTCTCAGACAAGTTCCAGGTGAGGACGACGGGCCCCCGAGACAGCGTCACCAACCAGCCCGTCAAAGGGAGGAACGTGGAAGGCGGCATTCGCTTTGGCGAGATGGAGCGCGACGCCCTGCTCGCCCACGGCACCTCCTTCTTGCTGCAGGACCGTCTCTTCAACTGCTCCGACGGCKCCGTAGCCTACGTGTGCGCGAGCTGCGGGAGCATGACGTCCCCCGTGCTCGAGCAGCCGCCGCCTTCCTCCTCCGTCGGCAGCAGCAGCAGGCGCTACTCGTGCTCCGTGTGCGGCGAGGCCGACGGCATCGAGGTTGTCCCCGTCCCCCACGTCTTCCGCTACTTCGTGGCCGAGCTGGCAGCCATGAACATAAAGACGACGCTCAACGTGGAGTAGCTCCGCCGGCCCCTGCCTCCTCCCGCGGACGGTGGTGAGCGTTAACRCAGTTGTCGGGTTCTTCACACGGTTGCGACGTTAGTTTGGTGCTGTTGGGACGGGGCCCTCTGCGAGGCCACGGGGCCGTAACGGCGGTGCCGGTGCAGCCCCTTGGCCCTCCGCGGAGGAGCGCGGGCTACGGCGGCGCGGGGCCCTCGCTGCTCCCACCAGGCTCCCCGCCGGAAAGCAGCGGTGCTTCCTGGTGCGCCTCCGCACCGGCTGCAGCTGGGAAGATGAAAAAGGTCATAAATCAGCATGAAGTGAATGCTGGAAAGCAACACAACACGATTTTTTTTTTTCCCTTTTTCTAAGAAGACACTTGCAAAACCGATGCCTTAATGATGGTTACGTGCTGGAGTGATTGGACCTGCTTTATCTCTCTTATTTCATCCCGTCGAGCTGCAGCTCTGGAAGTCGCAGCGTGCTGGGAAGCCCGGGCGGGATGGGGAGGCCGCATGCCATGGTGGTGAGCTGGACACGTGGCCCCGCGGCCCCTTCCCCTGGCGTTGATAGAGAGGGGGCCTCTCTGCCGGGCTGCCCCGGCCGTGGGGGCCAGGGAGAGCCGCGGGGGTCGCTCCCGCCTCGCGCTCTTTGTCCYGGTGCCCCAGGGCCGCCCCGCGGGCAGCGGGGGCGCTCGCTTTTGTACCTGCTGTTGAGAGTTTTCTACGTTTGTACCTCCTATAAAACGTTCGGTTTCAGGCTGGTCCCCCCGCTGTTGC